ATGATTACTTATAAAGATAAGAAATTTTTCATGTGGTCGTTTTTAGTTTCCTTTGCAACAAAACCCAAATCCACTAAAATATATCTGAGTCTACTGAAACTAATATTTATAAAATAAGGTTTCATTTGTTCTTATTAAAAATCTTTATTGAAACATAAAGACTCATTAATGCTTAGGTATACTAATTCACATTTCTCATTTTTTATCCAGTAACCAAGGACTTTTTGTTTAAAAGAGAATATAGCCCAACCCTAAATCACATGCCATTTTTAAATGTAAAGGTCAATTTGTGTACTACAATCATATGAAAAGTTTAAGATTACAAAGGATCATGAATGCTTTACCAAAGCTTTTCTAAATATATTACCTAAATGTACTACATAAGATGGGTGCAGTGGCACACACCTGTAATCCCAGTTACTCAGGAAAACTAAGGAAGAAGAATCAGAACTCTGAGGCTAGCCCGGGCAACTTAAAACACCTTGTCTCAAAAGTTTTAAAGAGGGGCTGGGGATGTGGCTCAAGTGGTAGCACGCTCGCCTGCCATGCGTGCGGCCCAGGTTCGATCCTCAGCACCACATACAAACAAAGATGTTGTGTCCACCGAGAACTAAAAAATAAAGATTAAAAATTCTCTCTCTCCCTCTCACTCTCTCTTAAAAAAAAAAAAAAAAAAAAAAAAGTTTTAAAGAGGGCTGAAAGGAGCTCAGTGGTAGAGAGCTTGCCCTACATGTATAAGGCCTGGGTTTAATCCCCAGCACAGAAGAACAAACAAGAAAACGAAAACATATGCTGCATGCATTATCTCAGAAAGCAGTTAAACTCACAAACCTTTAAAAAAAATTGTGTGAGAGTGCATACTATATGATTCCATTAATGAAGTTCTAAAATAGACTTATTTTTTGCTCAGGAGTCAGAACAGTGGGGGGCAAGTGTGATGAAAGGTGCACAAAGAAATGTCCTGGGTTGAGGGAATGTTCTTTCAATACTGATTCAGCTTGATGTAAATCCTTACATTTTATCATATAAATATCAAAAAAAGTACCAGAGCCAAGGTTGGTGGCACACACCCGTAAACTCAGGAGGCTAAGGCAGAAGGATCTAGTTCAAAACAAGCCTCAGCAACTTAGAGAATCCCTAATCAACTCAGTGAGACCCTGTCTCTAAATAAAATACAAATAAGGACAGGAAATGTGGCTCAGTGGTTAATTGCCCCTGGGTTCAATCTCCAGTACCAAAAAAAAAAAAAAAATAGTTGAGTACTTCTTCAAATTCTCTACATTGTTCAATTAATTCTTTTGAAGGCCATGATTCATACAGAAAAATTATTTAATGCCCAGTACTTACTAAGATAACCAAATACTGAATGTCTTTTGTTTTCTATATATAAAACATGGACTTCATAGTAGTAGGAGTGGCTCTTCTTTCAGAATTTGATTTCTAAACTAAATATATTATTCTTCCACTCACCAGGAGCTTCAAGCACAAGACTGAAGTTCATAAAAACAAAACATTAACCTGTAGTTTCTTTCTGCTAAGAGTAACCATGCAAAAAATCTAAACTTAACAACATGACTCAGATACTAAGTAATCTCTGGATGATCCCTTAAGGAGATAGGGCACCTATGCACATCTCTTCTGAATGTAGGTATTGCTATAATAGCTCTGCTTTGATTTCATCGTTAGGATTATTCTAGATGTGTGGTTGGTGGTTTTGCTGTTTTCTGTCTGTACTAATGGGGGAAGCTGCTTCATTATTCTATATTTAAGTTAAGGTAAATATTATTTAAAAATAACTCTAGGTCAAACACTATTACGATTAACTCAACTTTCAAAACCATTCACCTAACAAAGAATTTATCAGAAGAAATACCTTCAGCTGGGTGCAATGGTACACACTTGTAATCCCAGCAAATCAGAAGGCTGAGGCAGGAGAATTTAAATTCAAAGCCAGCCTCAACAACTTAGCAAGGCCCTAAGCAATTTAGCAAGACACTGCCTCAAAATTAAAATAATGATAATAAAATGGGCTGGGAGGGTTTAATCCCTGGCACCATTTAAAAAAACTCTTCAATCTAGCAAGAATGCATGCCCAACTTCTTCATGATAAACAAAGATCGACCTGAAAACAATTTTGAAATTTTTCTTTTATTTACCATTTTCTCTTTCTTGACATTCCTTCTAGTCTAGGCTTGATACCTTTCCTGAATTTCAAAACTTGCCAGATATTGTAGATACAATGAAGAATAGAATATAGCTTTCTATAGAGGAAAGGCACATATGTAATCAAGAAAAATTATGTGGCCGGGTGAGGTGGCACATGCCTATAATTCCAGCAGCTTGGGAGGCTGAGGCAGGAGGAGCACAAGTTCAACGCCAGCCTAAGCAAAAGCAAGGAGCTAAGCAACTCAGTGAGACCCTGTCTCTAAATAAAATACAAAGTAGGGCATGGGATGTGTCTCAGTGGTCAAGTTCAATCCTTGGTACCCTGCCCCACAAAAAAGAAAGATTGATTCTGTGGAAAGCTATGTAATTTAAAAAATATATGTGTGTGTGTGTGTGTGTGTGTGTGTGTGTGTATAAAAAGCTGATTCAAAGAGAGTGAATTACATGGATGGGGACTAGTGGGTAAGATGGTTGGGTGGCATTAGGAATAGATATTCAAGTCAGGTGCAGAGACACACACCTGTAATCCCAGTGACTAGAGCTGAGGCAGGGAGAATCATGAATTCAAGGATAGCATCAGCAATTTAGCAAGCCCCCGTCTCAAAATAAATGTAACTAGGGATGTAACTCAGTGATAGAGGGACCCCGAGTTTAAAACAGTTAATTAAAAAAAGAAAAAAAATGGAATAGAGATACATTTGAACTATCCTAGGCCTCTAAACACACTATGCCCTGAAACTTCTGGCTTTGCACATTTACATGGAATGGTCTAAATTTCATACGCTACTAATTTTTCTATTTACCCTTTCAGATTTGGTGAATAACCTAGGTAAAGAACTCCAATTGAAGTCTAGAGTCAGCTCAGTGGTGGAGTGCTTGCCTACGTGTGAGGTACTGGGTTCGATTCTCAACACCGAATATAAATAAATAAAAGCAGGGCTGGGATTGTGGCTCAGCAATAGAATGCTCACCTAGCATGTTCGGGGCCCTGGGTTTGATCCTCAGCACCACATAAAAATAAATGAATGGAACAAAGGTATTGTGTCGGGCTGGGGATATAGCTCAGTTGGTAGAGTGCCTGCCTTGCATGCACAAGGCCCTGTGTTCAATCCCCAGCATCACACAAAAAAAGGTATTGTGTCCAACTACAACTAAAAACTATTTTAAAAAATAAATAAAAGTCCATTGACAACTAAAAAAAATATTTTAAAAAAAGAACTTCAAAAAAGGAGATCAGGGTGGGAAAAGTTAGGGAAAAAAGAAGATTGGGAAATAGGAAAAAAGCGGGGGATTGTTGGAAAGCCCTGGGAGAAACAAAGAAGAAAGTCATTTTTGTTTCTGATGAGAGAAAAGAAGAAGAAAAATGCAGATGTCAAGGTGTGTTTTAAAATACCGACCTTGCTTATGCTGAGGAGGAGGGTGGAAATGAGGAGCTGGAGGCTTAAAGTTGGAAATAAGGAGAGGGTGCTTGGAAATCAGGTCACCCAGCAGGAGCCCAGCACAAAGATCAAAGTGTCTGGGATGCTTATAGAAGGTCTGACAAAGAAGAAAGGGATGGGACCTAGGTAGAGGCTACAGGAGCCACCTGAACTGGTTCTATAGTATTCTTCTTGTGCTGAGCAGCCTCTGAAGGTCAAGGTCTTCACAGCCAGCCCTCTTCTGAATTAAAAGACCCACCATTCTGAAGCCAGGCTCTGAGTGACAAAATATTGTCCCTACAGTTGCCATAGAACTATTGTTTCTTCAAGTAGGAATGTGGTTTCTCTTGAACACGGCATAATCTTCTTTCTCTAAAACAAAATTAAAAAATCCACCACCAACAATAACAAAAACCAAAACCAAAAAAAAAAAAAAAAAACTTCAATTGAATTAAAACAACTTTAACTAAAAAATGAAATATGGTAATTACTTTTTAAAAATTTCTTTTGTTGTTTTGCACTGTTAGCAATATACGTTTAATTTTTTTTTTTTTTTTTGGGAGAGAGAATTTTGATATTTATTTTTTAGTTATCGGCAGACACAACATCTTTGTTTGTATGTGGTGCTGAGGATCAAACCCGGGCCGCACACATGCCAGGCGAGCGCACTACCACTTGAGCCACATCCCCAGCCCACGTTTAAATATTTTCATTTACATTATTTAAAAAGCACTCCTCCTAGGACTACATCTCACATTCTGGAAAACAGAAAAAAAAATATGATCTTCAAAAATTTGATTTTCAGGGCTGGGGATGTGGATCAAGCAGTAACGTGCTTGCCTGGCATGCACGGGGCGCTGGGTTCGATCCTCAGCACCACATAAAAATAAAGATGTTGTGTCCACCGAAAACTGAAAAATATTTTAAAATTCTCTCTCTCTCTCTCCTCTCTTTTTAAAAAAAAATGATTTTCAAAGAAACATGAAAGTTTCTACCAAGAATCAACATACCCACAATCTCTTACCAATGTCACAAAACAGAAAAATTTATCCTGAGACTAAGACAAAACAGAATCAAATTACTACATACATGAAGGTGTTTTCTGTAATGCTATTCAAAATGGAAAAATCTACTGCATAAAGGAATAGTGGCATATTAACTAGGCAAAGACATGCAAAATGTGACTTAGAACAGACAGACATACATGCAAATGTGTATGCCAAATGCTATGATGACATCCATTTCAAACTGTGGGCAAAAAGTATAAAATGGGGCTCAGTAGTACAGCATTTGTAGATCCTAGGTGAAGCCCTAGTTTGATCCCCAATACCACACACACACACAAAAAAAAAACAGAAAGTGCACAATAATATGTAAAAAAGGAATACAATGACATACACAGCTAATTTTTGCTGATTTAAAAAAATTAAATATATTTATTATATACTTTTAAACATACAAAAAATAGGAAAATAGTACAGTGAATATTCATATACATACTAGTTAGATTAACATTTTCCATGTACACTTCATACACAAACATACTTGGTGAAACCATTTAAAAATATTTTAGAGCCATTATAATATTTCATTCTGGAATGCTTCAGTGTACTAATTTAAAAATTTACTCTATAAACAAGTTTTATTATAACTCACAAAATCAGAAATGATCTAATATTTAAAATCCAATCCATATTAAAAATTTCCTCAATGCCCCCAACTCAAGGTTTTTACAAATGGCTTTCCTTATCAGAGTCTGTCAAGGCTATTAACACTGGGAACTAGTACAGTAGTACAGTGGGTGCTTGGCTTGCACAGGTTTTAATCACTAGTACCAGAAGAGATTTCACATTACATTGGTTTGTTATGTCTCTTATGTAACTTTTAATCAAGAATAGTTACCCAAACCATCTCCTTTTTTTCTTTCTGATATTTTGAAGAAACAAAACCAATTATCTTCTGTAACACTGCATATTCTAAAACCTGTTTCACAGTGTCTTCATTAATGTCTTTGAATTTATCATTCTATTTCCAATATTCCCTGCAAAATGGGAAATAGACCTAAAGGATTGATTAGATTTCAGTTAAACTTTCTTGACAAAGACAGTTCATAGATAATGCAGTACACTTTATACTACATCACAAATTAAAAAGCTGCCTGGCTATTCAACTGATGCTGGTCATGCAAAGTAAATACATGGGTAAATTACATTTTGTCTACATGGCCAACCAGCAAGTATTTGGTGAGATGATATTCTGACACCAGATTATTCTAGTGGGAATATAGATCAAATTTTTTTGGGGGGGTGAGGGGCACATATTAGGACACTCGACCAGAGTCACATTCCCAGCCCTATTTTGTATTTTATTTAGAGACAGGGTCTCACTGAGTAGCTTAGCAAGTCAATTTTTGCTGAGTCTGGCTTGAACTTGCAATCCTTCTGCTTCCTGCCTCCGCCTCCTGAGCTGCTGGGATTACAAGCATGCACCACCATGCCCAGCCCAAATTTTTATCTAATAGTTTTGGCATTATAATATCTTTAACTTTTCAACTTTTTAATATTTCAATTTTTTTAATTATTCAAAAAGCATTGGTTTTCCACAAATCAGAAAATTTATACAAAAATAAGATTCATTTTTATAATGATGACAGACTTACTCCTTAATTGAAATGTGAGCATCTCCCTTCTTTTTGATTTTGTCTGAAACCCTGTAAGAAAAGCAAAATAAAGGAAGTTAAAAGAATAGCATACACATTTATTTGTATTTATTTATATTTTTAGCATATTTTTATACAGATGTTAAGAAAGTTTCATTTTATTAATTTTATTTAACAAAATATCATCATAAATTAAATTTATTGGCTTCCAATATGTTTTTAAAGTGATTGATTCCAAAGTAAAATATTAAGTTGGAATTAAACATTTTTTATTTTAATAAGGCCAATTATATTCCTAAGGTCCCTTACACTTTCTAAGAAGTAAAAGGTACAGTGTAATCTACCCATTTGTTAATATAAAACTGGGATGTGGGTGTAGGTCCTGGGATCAGTCCACAGCATCACAAAAAAAAAATAAATAAATAAATAAAACCAGCACTCAATAAAAATGTAAAAGATAAAACAAAATTAAAAAATCAATACTGATATTTACTGTTTCTCCTCGTCAGATCTAGCCCAAATGTCTTAGGTATCCTTCTTTCTGCCTTTTATCTTTCCCTACATCTGTACCACTTGTAGTGGCTTTCCATTCATTACCAATGTATACCTATGAGGCCAGAAGGTACACTGGAACTGACTTTTTACTAATGAGGACAAAAAAAAGTTAGAACCCATTTTATGTTATTCCAATAACATTAATCTTTTATTTTGAGCTAGGGTCTCACTAAGTTGTTGAGGTTTGTCTCTAACTTGTGATCCTCCTGCCTCAGCCTCCTGAGTTGCTGGGATTACAGGTATATGCCACTGCACCTGGCTAAAATAGGAATTTTCAAAATACACAGGAGACAGTGCATAAGAATTTGGAAAAGCCAGTTAGCAGAATCAAAAACTAGAGCTAGAGCAGGCTCGGTGGCACATGCCTATAATCCCAGTGGCTTGGGAGGCTAAAGCAGGATTGTGAATTCAAAATCAGTCTCAGCAACTTAGCAAGGCCCTAAGCAACTTAGTGAGACTCTGTCTCTAAATAGAAATCCTGGATTAAAAAAAGCAGGGAGGGGGACTCTTTGAGGGATATAGTTCAGTGGTAGAACACTACTGGGTTCAATCCTCAGCTCTTTGACCTGAAAATAACAATTCTAGAAATCATAAGGAAATGATACACAAGACAATTAATATATAAAAATGGTTACTATCAGAATAAAAAGTTGCTAATGTTCATCAATTGAGAAACTATGAACTTATTCTGAACCAAGCTTATCATAAGCCAGGTATTATTCTACAGAGATCCAATGTTATCAAGACAGACAAGGTCCCTGATGTTATGGAGCTTATATTCCACTGGAAGGAGACAAATAGGCATGAAAAATTATACCAAGGAGTGAATGATAAATGTGACTTAGAAACATAAGTGAGGTAAAGTGGTAAGAGAATAAGGAGTATCACTTCTGCACTGAGAAGGAAAGGTGAAATTTAAGGTGATATCTAATCGTAACAAGCCAAAAAGAAAAGATGTTCAACATCATTCAATCATCAGGAAATGCAAATCAAAACCACAATAAGGGACTATCTCATACCCACTACAGTGGCTATCATCAATCATAGAGATAATAAGAAGTGTTGAAAAGGACATAAAGAAAGAACTCTTTCCCATGAACTTTGGAAAAATTTGGCAGTTTCTCAAGAAGCTGAACAAAGTAATCATGAGTCAACAATTCTACTTATAGTATGTACCCCAAAGAAATGAAAATATGCTCATAAAATTTTACGTAAAAATTTTCATAGCAGTATTATTCAAAATAGCTCCAAAAAGGATTCCTTTTATCAACTGATGAATTGATATTGTATAATAGGTATATTATGCATAAAATGGATTGTTCAGCTGTAAAAAGGAATAAAGTACTGGTATATTTGGCAACTTGGATGAACCTTGAAAACACTATGCTAAATAAAAGAAGCCACAGATAAAAGACTATACATAGTATAATTCTGTATATATGAAATGTCCAAAATAGACAAATCAATGGAGACAGAAAGCTTATTGGCTGCTAGGGCTGGGAAAATTGAGAGTACAGGGTTTGTTTTGGGGGTGATGGAAATGTCCTAAAATTGATTATGCTGACAGTTGCATGGCAATTAATATATTAAAAACATAAACTTTTGACTTGTATACTTCAAAAGGGGAGCTGTATGTCATGAGGATTATATCTAAATAAGGTTTTATTAGAAAAAAGAAAATATTCACAGCAACACAATTTTTAATAGCCCCAAACTGGAAACAAACTGGGAAAACACACATCATACTCTGCAAACTAGAGTAAAAGTTTTGAACATAAAGATTCATCAGTGGTAGAATGAATTAACAGATTATAGTATATCTACTCAATGAAATGTAACCTAGCTATCACTACACATAATAATGTAGATTCAGCTCACAAACAAAACATTGAACAAAAAGCGCAACCAGCCAGAGCTAAGTGTAGCTCAATGATAAGAGTGCTTGCCTAGGATGTATAAGATCCAAGATTTGGTATCTAGCACAGCAAAAAAGAGAGAAAATCTGTTTTTTCCCCATTACCTATAATTCATTTTATTTCATATCAAAGCAAAAAAGCTACTGAGATTATAAAATAATTTAAGGGGAAATACTGGAGAATGATACTGGCCAAATTATACTGTTACATTGTATGAATGTATGACTATGTAACAACAAATCCCGCAATTATGTATAACTATAATGTACCAATAAAAAAATATGGATAGAAAAGTAATTGAGGGGGCTGGGGATGCGGCCCAGGTTCGATCCTCAGCACCACATACAAAGATGTTGTGTCCGCCGAAAACTAAAATAAATAAATAAATATTTAAAAATTCTCTCTCTCTCTCTCTTTAAAAAAAAAGTATTTGAGCTGAGCCTAGTGGCATAAGCCTATGATCCAAGCTACCAGATACTTGAAGGCCTGAGGAGGTAGGATCTAAGTTTGAGGCCAGCCTGGGTAAGACTCTGCTCAAAAAAGAAAGAAAAAATGCTTGACTTGGCCATTACTTACCATATAATAGCCAGTATGATAGCCACTCATATACCAAGAGATTAACATGCTTCCCAAAGCATCAGCATCATCAGAATCTGGACATATAGGAGGTGGTGGGGGAATTATCTGAAACGGAAAAAGATCTTTAATTCAGCAAACAAAAACATGAAGTCTGGAGATCTGTTTTACACAGAGGATGCTGGGTATTAATTGTATCTTCTCCAACATATCATGGCACGTCCTATTTAAGTTTTTTTTTTTTTTGAATATTTGGAAAAAGTTAACAGTAACAAAAAGACCAAAATTAAATTTAACAAAGATCAAAAGATACTAGGCCTGGCCTAGGGTGGTAGCACAATGGTAGAGCACTTGCCTAGCATGTATAAGGCACTGGGTTCGGTTCTTAGCACCGCATATACATAAATAAAAATAAAGGTCCATTGTCAACTAAAAAAAATATTTAAAAATTTAAAAAGATACTATGCAATTCAAAATATTAGATGTTCTAATTTGATTAGACTATTTTTCTGTTTCATTATGAAGACATGAATAGAAAGACCAAGCACCTTATTTTTCCTACACACACATACACAGTACTTCATGACCATTTTAAGTAAAGGTCCTAGGTAGAATATTTGCCCTATCCCTACCCCAAAACAGCCTGCCAAACTCTATTTATATCTATTGTTAACACCTAAATATCATCATCAGAAATAAGTTACATGATCAAAAGCTAATATCCAAAGTATATCCAAGGGGTGTAAAACAATCAACGTCTTATATGTGGTGTAATTGAGTCCTTTCTTCCTTTTCCTTTTTTTGGTGGAGTTATACCTCCAGTCCTAACTGTGTCCTTTTTCCCTTTTTTGGAAGTACTAGAAATTAAACCCAAGGGTGCTTTACTACAGAGCTATAGCCTGCCTGCTGACATACACCTTTTAAAAATATTTATTTAGTTATAGATGGACACAATACCTTTATTTTATTTATAATTTTTATGTAGTGCTGAGGATTGAACCCAGAGCCTCACACATGCGAAGCAAGTGCTCCACCACTGAGCTACAACCCCAGCCTCTCCTCCATTTTTTTATGTTTTATTTTGAGACAGGGTTTCATTAAGTTACCCAGACTGTGCTTGAGCTTTCTATCCTTGGGCCTCAGCCTGCTGTGTAGTTGGGGAAGGCACAGAGGTTCTTCCTATTAGGAGCTACCTCATATAGAAAGACACCAACTTTTGCTAGGAAAAAAACAGGCAATACATATAGTTCAGAATTGGGGTTCTGATAACACTGTCTGAGTAACAGAAGGGAATTCAAAATGAAAACTGAGGTTTAGTGCAAATCTTTTCTCATTATTCTGTGGCCCAAGGAATGATCTAAAATGATAATTCCTAATTCCCTATATTCTGCTAAATTCCAAACTATATAAAAAATCAAAATTTAATATGAATTCTTTTGTACTTACTGGTGGTCCAGAAGGAAATGGAGGTAGCCAACATGATAGGAAGTGGGGTGGTGGAGGTGGTGGTGGTGGGCCACTGAATTTTAGACCTGGCTATAAAGAATGTTTCAAAGGAAAATTAATTTACTAATTTCAATGAAGGGAAAGAACTGAAACCCAAAAGAAAAAAAATATTTACCCAGAATAATATTGTATCTTACATATAAAAAAGATACGTATCAAAAAGTGGAATTTTATTTACTAAATCCTAGAGTCAAAGAGACCCATAAGTCAAATAATAACCTCTAGATTTTTCTCATTTCTTTTCTATGTAAACATTAAGGAAATAAAATCAAAGTAAGGAAGATTTTTAATTACCTAATGAATCAAAGACAGTGCATTCAGCAAGCTATTTCAATTATAAAAGATTATATACTCTCCCCTACTTCTATTAACTACATTATATAATCTTTGTATGAAAGCCCTGTCATAAATGCTTAGAGCACATACTGTGAAAATTAGTAAAACCTCTCATCTAACAAAAATCAGCCCCAAGACTAAAGAAACATAATTTTAAGAGCTTTGATCATTTTATGTTCAAGAACCTCTAATACAGTGTTAACTCAATAAAAAAAAGCTATCATGAAAAATCTTAAGGAGAATCGTGATTTTTAAGTTATTATCAGAATACCACACTCTTTCACAAAAAACTAGATATGGACATCGCTTGGGTTCTAAAACAACTTACCCTATAATAAGACCTTTTTTTTTTTTTTTGGTACTGGGGACTGAATCTAGGGCACTCTGCCACTCAGCTACATTCGTCATCTTAGTCCTTTTTATTTTATTTTTTAAGTTTTGAGACAGGGTCTTGCTAAGTTGCTCAGCTGGCCTTGAACTTATGATTCTTCTGCAAGAGCCTCCTGAGTCACTTAGATTACAGGCATTTGCCACCATACCTGGCATAAAAATAATTTTCATTTAAAATGATTAATTTTTGTCGGGCTCAGTGGTGCATGTTTATAATCCCAATGACTTGGGAATCTGAGGCAGGAGGATTGCCAAGTTCAAAGCCAGCCTGAAAGAGCCACAAATAAAAATAGTGTAAATCCACAAAACAATCTGGGGACTCCTCAAAATTTTATCCATATTAGATGTAAAATCTGTATTCTTCCCTCCCCCCCCAAATATCTGATATGGGTAACACATGGAACTACATAGCATATTGTCCAGGTGATGACAGAATATTATTATTATATTTTACATATAATAATATATATCTTTTTTTTTTTTTTGGTGGTGCTGGGGATTGAATCCAGGGCCTTGTACATGCGAGGAAAGCACTGTATCAACTGAGCTATATCCCCAGTCCTATATCTTCTAACTTCTAAGAAACTAAATTATTATTATTAAGTCTAATACCTACTACTCCACAAAAGTTGTTTGGTAGGTCTTTCAATATGAACCATTTTGCATCATTTTTTTTTTTTTTCAAAAAATTCTCACCTGTGTAAGTATAACATCTAAAGAGAGCTATCAAAGTTTCACAGGGAAACTACTCAATGGAGGAGTTAATTTCCAATATAAATTATTTCTGGAAACCTTTTCTGGATAATAGGTTTACCTTTCCTGGTCCCAATCCTGACCCTGGCATTGGGGGTGGTGGAGGGAGAAAACAGTCCCATGGAGTTGCTTTTGACTTGATGTTATTTGGTTTATTTCCAGGAGACCTAGAGGAGTTTTCACTTTCATCTGTTGAAACTTGACTTTCATTTTCATTCTTTAAAAAGAAAAAAAAAAATTGTGTTATATGAAAATGACACCTATGGTCCCAGCTACTTGGGAGGCTGGGGCAGGAGGATCACCTGAGCCCAGGTGATCAGTCTGGGCAGCACAGGGAGGCACTATGTCAAAAAAATAAATAAATAAAAGAGAAAGAAATAATGTCTCAGTGGATTTTTTTTAAAGGATGGGGTCTTGCTATGTTGCCCAGGTGGGTGTTGCAGCTGGACTCAAGTGATCACTCATCTCAGCTTCCTGAATAGCTGAGATTAGAGGCATGCACCACCCTATCCAGCTCAGGAACCGAAATTTTTTTGCATCCTTACCTCCTGAGTATTCTGTTCTATATTATTAGCTACTTCAGAGGTTGGGGAAAGCAGATCAGACAGATTTTGCTCCTCTCTATTTCCATATCCAGTGTAAATCACAATACAGGTTTCTCTCTTAAAATCAACTGAAGCAATGGTAGCTGGATAAATACAGCCATCTTCTGACCAAATGGCAGAACACTTATCACCAACTTTCCACTACAAATGAAAGATATGCACACAAATACACACAATTATTTCTTGAAAGAGAGTAAACTGTAATCTTATTTAGATGGGATAGGGGTGACAGGTATAGTGGACAGTCTCTAATACATTTGGAAGGCAGAAAGAGAAAATGGCTTAGGACCAAATCCATGCAAATTCCAGCTTTTGCATTTATATAATCATGGACAATGTTCTTAAACACTTTTGAGTCATCTTTTACCTGTCTATAGACTGGTTATAATACAGTCTACCTCCATATTTGATGTGAAGAGAAGCAGGAAAAGTATATTAAATGCCCAGCACCAGCCCAGCTCTGTGCCTGCCACAGAGCCACGTTAACTCTCTTCTCCTTTGGTAATGACGAATTTAAGGCTGACTAAGAAGACAGCTTCCAAGTCAACTGTTTCTAATTAACAGAAACTACCTTAACCCAGGATTTTTGGCTGTCTGGAATTAGCAATTTTAGTGTTTTTGAAAAACAAAAAGGATATCTATCTCAGTTTAAGAAATAAACACTGCTGATTCAGTATAAGGCCCTCAGTTACTCCTCTCAAACAGCATCATCACCTTTCCTCTATTCCATCCTCAAAGTAAATCTTGTCTTGATCTTTTTTGGTTTTTTTTGGTAGCAGGGATTGAGCTCAGAAGCACTCAACCACTAAGTCACTTCCCCAGCCCTATTTTGAATTTTATTTAGAGACAGAGTCTCACTGAGTTGCTTAG